ATTCATTTATTCGTTTATTTATTTATTTATTTATTCATTTATTTAGTTATTTAGTTTTGATAAACGCGAATGTGGCAATAGTTAAACTATTACAAAATAATATAATATTAATAAAAACATACAAAATAACAAACAAATGAATTGACCGCTATTATGGGATATAGTTTTGAGATGGGTTCAAGTTTCCAGTGTGGTGCTGGCGTGTACAGTTGTTCGACTTTCGTTCGAATGTAAGCTTGTATTTGCCACCAGTCACAGTCGAAAATTGACAAGTCATTCTGACTATACATTATACAGTTGGTTGCCGACACACACAAACAAAAACACGGGCGAATATTCCCCTTAAGCCAGCCGGTTAATAAGGTAAATGATTTATTGCCATGATAAGACGGGTTACGCCTTTTCTGTTTACATATTTCAGGAGAAAACTTTTTGTATAAGCCACGTATATAGAGAACAGGAATATTTGCAGGCCATTTTCGTCAAATTTATTTATTTATTTATTTATTTATTTATTTATTTATTTATTTATTTATTTATTTATTTATTTATTTATTTATTTATTTATTTATTTATTTATTTATTTATTTATTTATTTATTCATTCATTCATTGATTGATTGATTGATTGATTGATTCATTGATTGATTGATTGATTGATTCATTCATTCATTCATTCATTCATTCATTCATTCATTCATTCATTTATTTATTTTATTTATTTATTCATTCATTTATTTAGTTATTTAGTTTTGATGAACGCGAATGTGGCAATAGTTAAACTATTACAAAATAATATAATATTAATAAAAACATACAAAATAACAAACAAATGAATTGACCGCCATTATGGGATATAGTTTTGAGATGGATTCAAGTTTCCAGTGTGGTGCTGGCGTGTACAGTTGTTCGACTTTCGTTTGAATGTAAGCTTGTATTTGCCACCAGTCACAGTCGAAAATTGACAAGTCATTCTGACTATACATTATACAGTTGGTTGCCGACACACACAAACAAAAATACGGCGATTTCCCCTTAATAAGCCAACCGGTTAATAAGGTGAATGATTTATTGCCACGATAAAGACGGGTTACACTTTGTTATAGCCCATTCTGTTTAGATATTTTAGGAGAAAACTTTTTGCATAAGCCACGTATATAGAGAACTGGAATATTTGCAGGCCATTTTCGTCAAATTTATTTATTTATTTATTTATTTATTTATTTATTTATTTATTTATTTATTTATTTATTTATTTATTTATTTATTTATTTATTTATTTATTTATTTATTTATTTATTTATTTATTGAAATTTATTTATTCATTTATTTAGTTATTTAGTGAATGTGACAATAGTTAAACTATTACAAAATAACATAATACTAATAAAAATAACAAAATAACAAACAAATGACTTGACCGCCATTTTGAGATGTATTCAAGTTTCCTGCGTGGTGCTGGCGTGTACAATTGTCCGGCTTTCGTTCGAATGAAAATTTACAACAAAATTTAAAATTTCTTGTATTTGCCGTGAGTCACGGTCTAATTATACCTTGTACTAACAGTTGATTGCTGGGACACACAAAAAACATAGTACTTAGCCTTCATCATCTCGGACCATCATAATAGGGTATTGTCATATTTACAAATGATACGTTGAAACGGTCCGAATAATAGAACCTGGGATCGATGACGTCATATGAAGTTTATACTTCGCCATTACGTTAAAAGGGATGCATGAATAAATTTGCTTCTATTCTATTCTATTCTATTCTATTCTATTCTATTCTATTCTATTTGTCTAAAAGTATATTTGTTAAATTACCTAGAATTATTATACGATTATGCGTGTTTTTTTAAATACTGAAATACAAAATTGCCGCTTAGATGATTTCCTTTGTTATTTTATTTCAGTTAAAGATTTGTTTTGTGCCAGGCGATCGTGATAGGACTGGTAATGCAATGACATTGCTTGTGTGGGTCGATACCTTCATATTTGTGACTACGTGCAGTGTGGACATTTTCCTTATTGTCGCACTGTTCAACTGGCAGTGCAGTGCACAACACAAAGGAGTACTGTTAACAGAACTGCATACCTGGATTTGAACCCGGAAACTTTCGGCGTCTCGTGACTCCGATATCAGTTATCATCGTCAGCCAATTAATATTAAGTAACACGTGGCACTGCTCTATTGGGATATGTGTGTTCGACATGACGTCACAACTATACTTCAACTCTGACTCCGAGTCGCAGAAGTTGGAAAAGTATCGATCACCGTGATCAATAAAAACGTGGGGAGCAGCTCACACTTACCGTTTAAACTGAGTGTTTGTATTTGCCGTTATGGCAGAAAACTTCATATACATATTCAAGTTATTAGTCGGGCCCGCTGAACTAGAAAAGACTCACAATAGTAATAATTTATTAAGTATGTAGAAGTTACGGCGACTTCGTGGCGACATCGTCATTTTCCCTGTACTCCCGTATTACAGAGAAGGATATCGGAGTTCTGGGTCAGAGCATGGAGGTATAGTCAGAGTAAGACCGACACAATACTAGCAGCCCAGTCGATGAGCTTTAGACACCGTTTCTACCAAGTCGCGCCCTCTAGCGCCAAAATGAGGGAGGCGTCGATGTTGTATTGATTTCAATCTGATTAAAATAAGATCCTAGTTTGGGTTTCTTTTTTTGCTTTTTTTCATATATTTTATTTATTTGTTTCTTCAATTTAGTTGCTGGTATTTTTTATTAAGTTTTGGTAATCGCGAAAGCCCCAATATGAATTATATTATATTAACCACAAAAAACGAAAAAAACAAACAAACTAGGATCTTATTTTAATCAGATTGTATTGATTTGTGTTGTGGGTGGCCGTTAATAAAGTAATTTGTTCTGTGTTTTTTTGTTTTTGTTTTTATTCTAGATGAAGAGCGACAACACAATTAAAAAGTGTATATCAAATGTGTACGTCCCTCTCATCGAAGTTGTTTGATTAATAACTCTCCGAGTCGTGGTCCCCTATACATACACAAACGCGCGTGCACACACTAAATAAGAACCCTATTATCTGACCAAGACCTCATGACTGATGCGATAGATAGTGGCTCTCTTTGAATTGGTTCGAGATCGGCACTTCATAGCTACCGCTTGAACAGGAAACGTCACTCAAAATAATTCATGTAATGGCACGTTAAGGTTCAGACTAATATGGTGACACCATACCTACGTATGAATTGACGTCAATTAGTCGCTCTCTTCAACGAAGGGTGCATGAATCATCGCCATGCCCGTCACCCGGCCCGATCCAGTCCGACAGGGAGTGCCATACAGATTAGAGACTTCGTTCAATCATGGAACTATAAACCTTATATTTCCATGGTTCAATCGACATCGCATCATTTGTGCGCAGATTACATACATAGGACATGGTCCACCAGTGTCTTGCCATATATATTCTCCGTACAGAGACTCAGATCAACACTGAAATACTTGTGTGAATATGCCGTACCTGTGCCTGGCTTGACAAATTTCAAATTCTTCTTATTGTTCTTCGCCGAGTGCACTCTCGTCATGTTTTCGTCTCAATTCATCGACCACCATTTCTGCACGTTTGCCGTCTTGAGACTTCTTCTGGTTGTCCTTGCCACGACTGCCACTGCAAAGCCGACATACCCTGAGACATCTGCCAGTGAAGGCCATTGTCACTACGATAAATTCAGAGATTGTGTGTGTGGACAAGAATATGCCTATGTCGAAAATAAGAAAGACATTCCGAACTACGATCTTAAAAATTACTATGTCCACATGACGAATAAGGGAAAGGAAAGGTACGTGAATAGGTGCTGTCAGATTATAATACAAAATAACCCGTTCAGAATTACCTTTATAAACGTAGAAATTATATTATTTCGAGGGACGATTTCTATCAACCGGCGTCGTTGTTAAGGAAATAAATAATACAAAACTACTGTAAATGCATTAATTATTCACTTTTTAATTTTCGCTGACAAGTAAAATCCGCTAAATTAAATTTACTTGAACATGTAAAAATAACAAAAGCACTCATTGTTTCCTTAGAAAAATCAGTGAATATGCTCAAAACGTGAAATTAAATGACAGTGAAAATAAATGGTTTTACAGTACGTAAACACATTCGGCAGAGTATCACCGACGAAAAATGTACAAATACAATTACCATTTGTTACAAATATACCAATTCAAAACAACGAGTGGTGAGTCGTGAAAGTGTGTGACCGAGGCGTGAGAACGGCATGGTCTCATTTCGTCCAATCACAGCTTCGCGAGGAGTTGGCATGGTGCCACTAAACAATGAGTGTGTCGTGGAGCTCATTGGGCTTCACGGTACGTAACAACGATTTTATACTGTGTATTGTACACCTCGGCGATTTTGCTGAATTTATCATCATGGTTTGTTTAATTACATTACAGATACTATTATTGCCGACCGTGCAGTATATGCGAAGACGGCAGGGAAACCATTGCAACCTGTTACGAGAACCGGGACACACTCTGCAGTAAATGTATACACCCATTAGTTTACGATGAATGGACAAGGTCCTGCCAGCCCGTGAACATGAATATTGAAAAAACTCCTGACGTCATTGGTAAGCATTATTGATTGGTGTGTCGCTATTTCTTTCAGGTACTCAACTGGTATGAAAATAAAATATGAGTGTTGTTGTTGTTTTTCCCAATAGAACCTTATCAGAACCGTGACAACATGGAAAATATCCGGAGCCATGACAACATAATTACCAAACCACAAATAACAATTAAGCCTACACTTAATGTTGTGGTTCCAATAAATGACATAGGAGGGAACATATACGACAATGCCAAGGGTGAAGACCCACTTAAAGGTATGGCATAAATAACACTTTTAGATGAATAAATGCAAAATAAGACGTTTGCTTGTTTTTTTTTGTTTTTTTGTATTGTATTTTGATATTGACTTATTTACTATTGTAATTTTTAACTATCACATTTAATTGATTAAGAAGTTATTTATTTGGTTACATAATGAAGACAAATGTGATTATTAAAATATGTGCTGCGTTTACGTTTTGATTTTATGTCATATTTTATTTTTAATATATATATATATATATATATATATATATATATATATATATATATATATATATATATATATGTTGTTTTCATACATACATCCTTGTTTTGTGTTATTTCATCTATCGCCTTCAAGCTCTGTGCTAGCTTGATTAGCATGATTAACTCAAATTCAAGAAAAAAATATAATTACATACATATTTTTTTCAAATTAAAAAACAAACTTGAAAAGCCAAAACTAGGATTTTATTTTATCCAAATTTAACGAATACTACAGTAGTACGTGTTAACTGTTTCATAATTTACCCATATTTCAGGTGAACCTTACGTTAGCGATACATTAATGAGTGACGGCGAAAAAAGTTCGGGTTTGAATGGATTTCTCATCTCTGTTATCTGTGTATCAGCTGTTATTATCCTACTAGCAGTTATTTTCATGGTGTATCTTCGTCTTGGAAACTTGTGTACTACCCGAACTGAGGTTGCTAGAAGTGACGTTATAAGGCATAAAGATGATCCCATTAGTCATGACGATGAAACTAAAGTATGACGGGATTGGATCAAAACTATCTACGGAGTGGATACATACTCTGCTCTCCGACTGGGGTCTTAGCGCGATGAGCTAAAAAAATAAGGAAAGGGTCGGGTCACTTGTTTGTCTAAATTTTAAATGGACGCGTACAAACTCGAAAAGTGTCCTTTTCAGTCATTTGTTTCTAAAATTCTCGTGAATCATATTTTTTGCAGTAAAGTATTTTAATTATTTATATGCTTAACATGTGAAAAAAATGTCATTATTATAAGAATTTTTTTTTTATACATGAGTGTGGCGATACAAGCCTCAATCGTGTCATGTTAGCACCGTACCGGTGCACGTGTCAGCTTTATTAAGTATATCGATATTCGGTATTTCAAATGTTGTACATTAATGTCCATTGACTTCTTAAGGAGTTGTAACGTATATTTATATACATGTATATATATATGAATACACTTGATGAACAATGTTTTATGTTGTTGTTTTTTTTATGTGAGTGGATGAATGTGCCATTATTTCTGGAGGGTGTTCACTCTCATCATCTTTCGAATCGCACGGTTTCACGGACTCATTGTAATCATAAACACCACCATGACTGGTTAGCCCCAATAATCTCAGAGTGCAGAACGGTGTGGTCAGTGAAGTAAGTCTCTTTACCCCACCAAAAGATGAATCACATACTGATGAATCACATACCGGTACGTGCCGGTGAGCCGGTATGGCGTTTGCAGTCAAAGTATCAGTCAGGTCATTTCTATTTATAGAGTGTGGGGAATCCCGTTCTCAGTTAGTCAGCCAATCAGAGCTCGGGGTCAGAAGCAATACACAAATCCCGTCAATGCATGAATGAGTCACTGTCACGAGTTGTTCGTTGTTGGGTGTATGTTATTGTGTTTATTGCATAAACAAAGAATATCACAGCATAACATTAGTAGACAGCCGGCGACGACAACGTATGTCCACTAATATTGTGTTTATATGTGAATAACGGCGTTTACCTTCAGTGCCATTACGATCACAGTCGTACGTTCACTGTGCTAACTATCACGGTATGTGGGCAGCATTCAGTTATAACCGACGGCACCAGGGGCGGGTTTTATTGACTGTACTAACTCTGATGTTCTTTGGTGCGGCGATAGCTGGGCCACTGTACCCACCGTCGGACGATAAACGTCGCAAAGATTCAAACACCTACGCCAGATTCGATAAGTGTATATACGGGACAGAGTATGGTATAATCATGAAACACAAACTGATTCCAGCCCATGATCGTCGAAATTTTAACCAGCTCATCACCGGATCGGGCAAAATAAAGTAAGTGAAAACATTAGTAAACACCTAAACCTACTCCAGTTACCACTAATTCCAAACAATTTTTTTTACAAATTAATTCCAAAATAAAACTCGCCAGCGTGAAAATAGTACTCTAGTAACTCCACTTCAATCAGACTGACTTCTAATATCATGGTACTCGTAATAGTATTATAATTGTTAATTGAATGTGTTGTTTTTTGGCAACTTGTGATGTGGCAAATAAAAAAAACAAAATAGTATAAAATTATATCCAATAGCAATTTTAACTGCGCCACGAGCTTCGGATCAAAACAAAACAAATGCACGTGTTAGTCTCCTCCTTAGTGCGTGTTATGGCCATGCAAGTATAGGGACTGTTCTCCAATCAGAGTACTGGTAGTATAGTACGCATGCTCAACGAACGACTTCAAGAAAACACGCATGTGGCAAAATGCCAAGTAAGTCGTGGGGTGGGCTCTTGACAGGGTACACTGCAACAACGTCATTTTCAGTTCATTTCAATATAATTATTCTTTTTTTCCTTCTTATGTCACAGATACTATTATTGTCGACCTTGTGGTATCTGTGAAGACGGTAGAGAGACACTCGCAAAATGCCACGAAGGCCGGGACACGGTGTGCAGCGAATGTCCACATTCGTTAGTTTATGACGAAGGAACAAAATCATGCCAGCCTGCAAAACAGAAAACTGAAAATTCACTCGAATATGCTGGTATGTTTTATTTTTTTACTTTCATTAAGGACGCCCTCTATTAATAGTTTCCCTTGAATAGGAAAGAAAAGACAACAGAGGGCGGAGTTTCAGAAACCCTCCAGTTACTATATGTAAATAAAAGAATGTTTTGCATTTCAGTCGCAGGTGTTCCTACTGCCGATTCCACAGCGCCGACAATCAACCAAGGGGTGGCGTATATAAATGACGTACATACACGTGCATCGAGCAGTATTAGCAGCGACGAGATCAGCACGCCCTCGAATAAAGGTAGGGACTCCCAATAACATGTGTTAATAATAATATTAATATTTATTTATTTACCCAATAATAATAAGAAGAAGAAACACTGAAAAAAATAACAAAAGTATGCCATACAGAAAAACAAATACGAAGAAAAACACATATATATATTGGGTAAAAAGGAAAATAGCTTACTGCTAGTCTAGTCTGATTTGCTATATACAATGGAAGTAAATTATAATGTATATAGTAGAGGGCCAAAGATAAGTATATTAATATGAAGATTAACTAACCAAATTAATAAATAACTAAACAAATGAATATGAAAGTTAATACAAATCGGTGATGAATAAACATATAGCTTATTAATAAATAAAAAACTTGGCAAACAAAATCATATGTGTCTAGTTTTCTGTCAATAATAATTGTTTAATCATTTTTGGAGCGAGCTGAGTGAGATAATTGATCTAACTTTAGCCGGGATTTTGTTCCATATTTTGCACCTGAGTATGTCATCGAAAACTGGCCAAATATTGTATATTCAACAAAAAGATTTTGATTGTGGAGTTGTCTGGTTTGATATGAATAATGGATAGGTTTGAAATAGTCATTAATATTATGGGCAGAATTATGGTGGATTAAGTCATGGATGAAAGTACAGGTGACTAATTTGTACATTTTATAGATATCAAAGATGTTTAATTTTTTGAATAAAGCGCCGAGTGTTCAGTGAACGAACTAAACGTCATTGCGCGAACTAATATTTTCTGGGTCATATAAATGAGTGATATGTATAACCCCAAACCTCCAGACCATAAATAATATTCGGCTGTATAAGGGAGTTTTGAAGCAATATTAAAATGTTACGAGGTATGATGTGTCTAAGTTTATATAATAGGCCACACTTTTTTCTATTTATACTGTTGATGTGATCGATGTGACATGACCAATTAAGATTAAGACCAATTAAGACCTATCCATTAAAACACCAACAAATGAAACTACCCTGACTTCCTGAACACATACTCCTCTGATACTAATTGAGCCAGTTACATTATTGCCTAATATTGCCTAATGCTTGCTACTAAAAATGATATAATTCGTTTTTTTTTTTATTTATGGAAAGTTTGTTTGCATCACACCATAGCAGGACATCATTGAGCGTTTGCATCATGTAAATTGACTATGCAATTTTTCTCGTAAGTAAGAAATAAGTTGGAGTTGTCAGCAAAGAGGCAAAAATTAAAAAAATTAGTTGAATTGGGAAGATCGTTTATATAAGAGTAAAAATAATGTTGGGCCTAGAACAAAACCTTGGGGTACCCCGTAATTAATGCTTGTTTTAGATGATGATATTCCATTGCAATGTACATATTGGGTCCTGTTATGAAGATAATCTTTGACCCATTGAAGTGAGATCGTTAAAGCGGGAGATACGTCACCTGCGCACACGAGGGAATTGGGTCCCAAGTGACGATAACAACACAGGCCAAAAACGCAACGGCTCATAGGTAGGCGCTTGTTTGTAAACAATGACACGCTATGGCCATCTGGCGCATGCGCTGGTGACGACTCCCCCGCTTTAAATACCCATGGAAGATAGTAGCCCTATTACCTTCCATGACAAGCCTGAGATAGCTATATTTTTAGGGTCAATACATGTATGTATTGCTGTTTCAACTGATACTGTTTACATAACAAGTCGTGGTTAAATTCTGTGTTCTTGATTCTACAGCTGGACAACTAAGTGGGAAACCAAGAACTGATGTGACTGAAGTAAATTCACCTAGAACATTATTACCAATCATCATGATTTCCGCGTCCGTTATTGCCATTGTGTTCATAGTGTTTGTCATTGTACTAATATTTCGACGAGGAAACTCGGGCATTTCGAATGAAGTAAGAAAATTGGAGAGCGGAGAGCCTGTTGCTCTCTGAAGTCACGCAATGACATCCCCAATGAAGTTGTAGATATATGATGTGTGTAACGTCTTTGAATCAAAGCAATACAGATTCGTAACTCGTATACTCTGTGTGGATATACGCAACTGAATCTACTTATATTTTGTAATTATTTATTTTGTTATTATTCATCCGCTACATCAATAGTGGCCATTTTATAGTTGAGTGCTGGTCATCTCAAAAACAGTTTGCATTATTTTGTCTTGTTTGACACAAGATTTTAACTTTTATATATCTAAATACAAATTTTAATATAAAAATTATTCAAATTTGACATAACGCTTTTGTATATAAATTTTAATAAACTTCAAAAGTATTTGTTTGAATGTTGACATTTATACAACAAAAATACTATAATTTTATTTTAAGTGTGATCTTTATATATATTTTTATATTGAACAGATCTTTATTACACAGTTTCAAAGTTATATTATTTAATCATATGTTAGAGAACAATGTTCTGCTCTATGTCAATATCTAGTAAGTCACGAGTAAGTTACATTGTAATATATTCATTCAGCCTGAGCTTGTACTCAAATCAGGAGTCTAATCCCTGACCTCTAACCTTCGACCTCTCCTAGATGTGAAACTGATTGTTTCACTATTCTCCCTCAAGATACTCATTGTTCCAACTAATATTTTTTGTAAGTTTATAAAATAAACAATTCCACCAAGTTTTTGTTGTCGTTAATTATCACTGACCATTTTAATAACAAATTGCTGAAATCTGAATAATTTGTGAAGTTCTCGCAGTTTGCGGGTCTGTTTATGATGAAGACAAATCTGTCGACAGAGGGCGTCCAGTAGTACGACATTACGAAACCATTTATAAGACCATGGTCCCTCTATCCCTATAGAGGAATTTGTGGTAACACCCCCCTCCCACACCCATTCTCTTGATAGAAGGATGTAAATAAATGCTCTTTCGCCTGAACAATACTCTATATCTTAAGTGATAGTTAGTAGACAATTTTACAAAACGTCTACCTGAAACTTGGCTGTTGAAGCAAAATACATCCTATTAGTGGTTTGATCTCTTGGGCTAAATGAATTCGTTCAATTTTTTTTTTGTGCAAATATTTTAGTTACATATCCTTGATGACAATTTTTGATTTTTTTTTTTAATTAAGCAGTCGTGAACATGTTTTTATTATTATTTTGTTATCTTCATGCACAGCAAACCTTTGTTCGTAAAATCCCCCAGACCACAGTCCCTCTATCACTATATGATAGAGGGACTGTGCCCAGACCATCCCACTCCCAGTTTTTAACTGAGTCACCCCTTAATTCATAGCGGTGCATGGAAAGCCGGAAACACTACAGCTCTGTTATGTAGGGATGACACCATTCCGATATGGGTGAATATATTAGGCACGGCTAGGTACTGTTTCATTCCCGACGTTTCTAAGAAGTCATAGAGGCAAAAATCAAGTGGGTACCACGCGCGGCAGTCGACATCCGCTAAATAGTCCACGATCTGTGACAACGACGCGGATGGATACACAACTGCTGCAATACAGCAAGACGTCCCAGGGCGGATGGCCGACAGATGGACCGAAGAGTATAGATATGGCAGAAAAAATGGTCGCCCAATTGAAGCTGCCGTGGCGCCGAAATAAACAAACGATATGATAAAGATGTAGTAAGTAAAACAAAGCGAGATTCTGTTGCTCTGGCGATAGCATATGTCATAAATAAGGGCAGTGATACTTGCTGGAATAAGGGAGAGTGCGACGCCCTCTATAGTGAACAACCAATTACTGAAGAAACCTGCTGAGGGCGTTGGGAAATTCATTTTCAACCACGACCACTTCTCAGTGTTAGCTACAAGTTCTCCCCGAGAATATCTCATTTCAACTCTATTTTCTAGTATATACAGCAGCTTTGCATAAAAGTCGTCGTGTGGCATTGCGTCATCTTGCAATAGAACAACGTACTTAGCGTCGTATTTCCTGGAGAAATTAAGACAAAACAAATAGTCTTCTTGTTCTTTGTGGAAAACAAGAGATGGCATCCACTCTTTGGTTAATCTGACGTTTGTGGTGCCATATTTATGGACCACCGGAAAATAAGTTGCCAGTTCCATAGCTTCGGCGTGATCCTGTGACGGGGAATTTACGTTGCATATAAATACAACATTTTTATGTCCCCTGCGATGTTTTTTTATACTTCTATGCACCCGCGAAACAACTTGAGTCAAATACTTCGGGTTTGTCCCATCATACGTGTTATATACCCTCGAAACAGTAACTATACCAACGGCAATGTGGATATTTTCTTTAGTTTCGCCATATTCTTGGAAAGTTTTTTCCGCGTCCAAACTTCGTAAATGCGACTCCTCTTTGTGTAGTCTCTGTTCATTCCAATTCATAGCTTGTCTCACATTTTCATCCAGACGTTCCGTTCGCGAATAATAATACGAAAAGGGCAGATCTTTGCAGAAAATTGGAAGAACTACAAAAAACGTCAAATAATACAACACTAATGTCACTAACAAATGACGAAATGTTCTCCATATAGATCTTTGTGGTAAACACTTCCAATACATTCTAAACCCCAGACGCCCGCTAGAGTATTGTCTGTTTTCCTCAGTTCGTCACATATATTCTCTGCAAAACCAAATACCAAGAAATGACAAAATAAGTAACTATATATAACTCGATATTTCGGATAAAATGCCGACGTGTGTCTGGATATTCTGACAATGAAGCCGAATCACGTGCTAATAACTTTTTTAACCATTTTTTTCCCCGGAAATTTACGGAAATTATTTTGGTCTGATCGCACATGATATGACCCCATTTGAAAAATACTCATTATAACTCAGCCATTTTAGAAAACCAAAAGTTGAATTACTGGAACGTAGACAGTCCGGAATTACAGGTGTGTACTTGACCTCTTGAATATTTTACATTACTCACACGAACTCAAATATAAATACTGGGTGAGATGCCGTTGTTTACTTCGTATATATATATATATATAAACAGACGAGAGAGAGAGGGCGCTTTCCAAAATGCATAATTATATGCGTAATGTCAAAGTTCATTGTGGAGATTTCAAATACATGTAATAATATATACATATAAATACTTTTTTACTTACATTCAAATCTCATCCCATTTTTGTATGAATGACAACTATTTCTTCAAAATATTAATTTATATTAAATTATGAACAGCCCCTCTCCCCCACTTAATGCTCGCGAGAATCGTCATAATAATTAGGGAGTATGTACACTGAATATAAAATTTGTCAATCATATCTAAGTCAGAATTTTTTTTTTTATTTAAACAATATTTTTATTTTATCTAAGTCAGAATGCTACTCGTGAGTTTTTTACCTATGCGCAAATGCGGCACGGAATTTTGCAGGGGGCAACTCACTGCTCACCCTCCCTCGCATCGAAGGCGCGACCTTACCTACTGAAATGCTATTTCATGCATTTTGAGGGGCAAGGTAGGCACTCCTCTTCAACTGTGTCACATCGACACAAATACACAAAGGGTTTCAGCTCGACACCCCAAACATTTTTTTCGGGGGCAACCTCACCCCCCTCTCAGTGCCACCGCCGCTGCATATTTTTACCATATGTCACCAGCAACATTTTTTTATATTGAGTTATAATCTTGTCATAAACAGACAAAACATGATATTTTCATTCTGTTTTCGTCACCTATTCTTTCTGAACATAGTGAAGTGATTTCATATTTTAGTCCATTTTCTTTATATATATATTCTTTATATTAAATATCAAAAAATATAGAAAATAACAATATGTGTACTTTTGTGTACCGTTCTACCTTAAAATACGCCCTCTTTCAATATCGCGAACACGTGCCTTGGACAATTTATATTAGTACGTTTCAAACTATATTCTAAATTGTCTCAGACATGAAAATGGTTGTCATAATTAATTCAGATTAACAGTGCAAGCATAATAGAAAAAACTAACTAATCCTCACGACATTGTTCATGCATTACTACATGTTCACGTACATACATATTGACGAACCTTGACCTGGTCATGTGTTATAACAAGTAAGACGAAGACGACATCACCTGGCAGTGTATTGTCCGCAGTGTACGCCAAGTTACACTGTTCACCACGAGAAAGATACGATGGTTACAGGATATTAGTCGACGTACTGGGCGTTGGTACCTGCTGACACAGTATACGAATTTAGCTCCGACACACTTAAAGCCGATTTTTTTTTCTGTATTGGTTAATATATACCAATAGTTAAATATTAACAATTCGCCGATAGTACATGTGGGTCAAAGGTTGCGTTCGTTGGTTGAGTATCATAAGCGACCATGGCTATATAGGTTTCGATGTTGTCATGGTAACGGTTTCCATCAATGAATGTTTCATATGAATAATCGCCGGTTTCACCTTAGGTGAAAAGTTTATGACGGCTAGATGATCTCAGTGAACCCGCTCGTGAATCCGATGACAGATTGCAATGTTACGTCACTTAATTTCATGTTGTTGACAGTTTGTCTAAAATTGTAATATTTTAATTATTTAAATCTCATTGATACATTTGTGTATAAATTCAGGTTGAAATTTCGACTCGTCGACCCAAAAACTATATTCTATATTTTAGTGGAACAAGCGATTATTATCTGTACATGGTCAACCATGGTATGGTACTAGTAACATTACAACAATGTGAAGTAAATATCTGATATTATTTTTTAATTTTCAAAGTTTGTAAAATAAAAATATATATATAAATAGCATCTCGGCGTGATGGCACGTTAAAAACTATGATTAGTATTTGCTAATCTGTCAGTGTGATTCTCCGGCATTTGGGACATTCTTTTCAAATTATCTTTATCTACTTTCACCTGGTCACCTTGACGACATGTTGTCTGCAATGTGATTCCGATCAAATCAATCCATTATTACGAAACCACACGCACATAGCAGAATTACAGCAAGGGACGAGATCATTATTCGTGCGGGTGGCAAGTCAAAAATCGGAAAAATAAATTAAAATTTTTAGTGAATAAAAAAGAACTGATATTCACACACGTCGGAAACTGCGTCATCAGTGTACACCACACACGCCGCGTTGAAAAATTAATGCAGATAGTGCAAATTAGAGAATGATTTGTTGATGGGAAATTATGTTGACCTTGCCTAGTGCTTAGTATCTAACACCACGGGACATCTGCAAGTTGTTTCGGTCTACGCCTTCAAAACACCCTCACGTTTTGCGGTGTTTCCTGTACTTATTGGGTGAGATGAACTCTACGCACTACGTAACCACCATCTTCCTACTTGTACCCATTTACTTCTATGTGTTATGTATTCAGCATCTACGTACCTATCGCAATCCTACCTGGTACTCATTTACTCCTGGATGACGTGCATTCAGAACCTACGTAACTATCACAATCCTACCTGGTACCCATTTACTCCTGGATGACGTGCATTCAGCACCTACGTAACTATCGCAATCCTACATGGTACCCTTTTACTCCTGGATGACGTGCATTCAGCACCTACGTAACTATCACAATCCTACCTGGTACCCATTTACTCCTGGATGACGTGCATTCAGCAACTACGTAACTATCGCAATTCTACCTGGTACCCATTTACTCCTGGATGACGTGCATTCAGCACCTACGTAACTATCACAATCCTACCTGGTACCCATTTACTCCTGGATGATATGCATTCAGCACCTACGTAACTATCGAAATCCTACCTGGTACCCATTTACTCCTATATGACATGTATTCAGCACCTACGTACCTATCGCAATCCTACCTGGTACCCATTTACTCCTGGATGACGTGCATTCAGCAACTACGTAACTATCGCAATCCTACCTGGTACCCATTTACTCCTGGATGACGTGCATTTAGCATCTACGTAACTATCACAATCCTACCTGGTACCCATTTACTCCTGGATGACGTGCATTCAGCACCTACATAACTATCGCAATCCTACCTGGTACCCATTTACTCCTATATGACATATTCAGCACCTACGTACCTATCGCAATCCTACCTGGTACCCATTTACTCCTGGATGACGTGCATTCAGCACCTACGTAACTATCGCAATCCTACCTGGTACCCATTTACTCCTATATGACATACATTCAGCACCTACGTAACTATCGCAATCCTACCTGGTACCCATTTACTCCTGGATGACGTGCATTCAGCACCTACATAACTATCGCAATCCTACATGGTACCCATTTACTCCTGGATGACGTGCATTCAGCACCTACGTACCTATCGCAATCCTACCTGGTACCCATTTACTCCTGGATGACGTGCATTCAGCAACTACGTAACTATCGCAATCCTACATGGTACCCATTTACTCCTGGATGACGTGCATTCAGCACCTACGTACCTATCGCAATCCTACCTGGTACCCATTTACTCCTGGATGACGTGCATTCAGCAACTACGTAACTATCATAATTCTACCTGGTACCCATTACTCCTAGATAACGTACATTCAGCACCTACATAACTATCACAATCCTACCTGGTACCCATTACTCCCGGATGACGTGCATTCAGCAACTACGTAACTATCATAATTCTACCTGGTACCCATTACTCCTAGATAACGTACATTCAGCACCTACGTAACTATCATAATCCTACCTGGTATCCATTACTCCCGGATGACGTGCATTCAGCAACTACGTAACTATCATAATTCTACCTGGTACCCATTACTCCTAGATAACATGCATCCAGCACCAACGTAACTATCACAATCTTACCTGGTG